GACTATAGCACTGCCACACTTTCGTGGCTTGGGCAAGTTGACTTGGTGAGTATTTCATATATCCCTGGCACGTTTTCCTGACATAATGAAGCTGGAATGGTGAGAATCCTTTTAGCCCTGCCACGTGTTCGTGATGATGCTGCTATTTAACATAATCAGATAGCAGCCTCAATTCGTAATTTTCTGGCGCGATAATGCAAGTCGGCGTCGCCGCCCCTCTTTCCCGACCAAGTCTGTCTTGGCCAGGGATAAGCAACTCTCACGGTTAAAAGGGGGGATGATGTATCATCCGCGGTGTTCTGTTATTGGCCCGAAGGTTCCACGACCCCGAGCCAGCCTCAGGGCCCGCCCGCAGGGTAGACACCGTTCTTTAACAATCAGTGAGCTCGAGCGGCGGCCTGGCAACGTTGCACAGCATACTAACAGCAAGCTCGTCTGCATGTCGCGAACTCTGGAAGGGTGCAGACTGGCGGCACGGGGCCATGCGCCGCCGAGTGGACCTGCGGGTGGCCACGTGGGGAGATGTCGCCGGACCAACCCAGCGCTCGAGGCGGCCACGAGGCGACAGCGTTGCAAAACCTCGCTGGCTTCGCATCGCTCGGACATGTGTGTTCTTTCTCGGCGAGGATCGTCAAAGATGATTTTTGGTTTTCTTCCGAAAACAAACCACGCATGATGCCGAAGCATGCACGGGGAATGGACGTCCCAGCGATGGAAAGCTGGACACACCCAGCGCACGAGGCGGCCACGAGGCGACCACGGGCGGCGCTAGGGAACATCGTCGCTGGACCCACCCACTTTTCATAGCGACGCAGGTGCAAACGAACCGAGGCAGAAGATCGACGTCGGTTTGGGGAGGGTACCCTGGTGTGTGCCGTGTTTCTTTGATATTATTGTGCATCCTGGGGAGGGTACTCTTGAATGTTCTGTGTTTTTCGGCGGGCGGAGGCCCTCAGTTTTTCGAGGGGTGTTCCCCGGGCGTAGGTCCGATTGCAACCCCAAACAATGTAAGCACTGTGTTGGGCATGTTCGTCCTTGTGCGAAAGCTGCAGAAGATATGCAGAAACATGAAGCAAAACAACACCACACTCTCATAGATTGCAGAACTGTGCCGAAGCAAACAGCTTCCCTGCATCTGCCTGGAAGCCTCCCAGAAGCCTGGAAACTTCCTGCAAGCCTTCGAAAGTCTCCGATGATCTCCCACTCCCCTCCACATTTGAAGGGGAACCCCGACATGCTGACAAGGGCGCTCCAGGGGCCTCAAACAGCTCTATCCTCGTTCCCAAGCCCTGCTTAGACCATGAAGTAGATGCTGGCATGGTTTCTGATGTGGGTTGGGGGGGGGCACCGCTCAGGCGATGCAGAACCCGGAGCAGACCACAGAGAAGGCCCAGGGTTGGTTTGTGATTCCCTTCGGACAGAACTCGGGGGCCCCCAAACGGGGTGGTGACCGCACCGTGCGGTGAGGCCGTTGGGATTCGGGGTCACCGCACGGTTTTGGGACCCCGGTCGTTGTCCGATGACGTCTCGGGCGACAGGGGCCTCCGGGGTCCCAAGACCGTGCGGTGACCGACCGTGCAGTGAGGTCTTGGGGGATTTCGAGGTCACCGCACGGTCTGTCACCGCACTGTTTCGGGACCACACATTAATGCAAATCAGGTTCTGAAAACGCCATGGGAAACACACATCAGATGTTCTGCGATAGCTGCGGCCGTTGACTGGAGACCGCCGAGGGGTGGGCAGAGATACCTACCCCTCAACTCGAACGACGCAGGGCACCAGACGGGCGCTGCCGAGCATGAAATATGGAGCCTCAGCGCAGGCGAGGAATCAAGGAAGCGTATCGACGTCCTGCAAATGCTGTAGTGCCGTTTCGGGACCCCAAAAGAACCCCATCCAGTTCCAGATCGCCCATCTCCTCTGGGGTCTGGTCGGCGCCTCCCTCCTCAGGAGCTCAATGGGCCCCCCGTGTCCCCCCCCCCCCTCCACAAGTTTCCGAGGGCCCGTGGCGCCCTCGGGGCACTGGACGTGCAGCAGGGGTGGTGCACTGGAGACGGGAAGCGGAGGAGGAGGAGGAGGAGGAGGAGGAGGAGGAGGTGGAAGGAGGGAGGAGGAGGAGGGGAGGATGGGGGAGGTTGGGGAGGGAGGAGGATTGATGGAGGGAGAGGAGGAGGGGAAGGGAGGCGAGGAGGAGTAGGAGGAGGAAGGAATGGAGGGGGATGAGGGGGGAAGGGAACTGAGGAGGGGGGGTGGGGTGGGGGTGGGTGGGCGGGGGGGGGGGGTGGTTGGGTGGGTAGGGGGGGAGGGGTGGGTGGAGGGCTGATGCTGTGGAGGGGTAGGAGCGCACGTCCAAGTCCACGGGGATGGTGTAGGGGGAGGGTGGGAGGATGAGGGGTAGGGTGAGGGGAGGATGAGCTTGGGAGGCGGAGGAGAGAGGAGGAGCCCCTCCGGGGGTTCCTTTCGGTCCTTTTGGCATCGTCACGTTGGCGCCAGTAGGAAGAACGAGGAGGGCTTGAAGGAGGAGCACGCGCGGTGGCAGCTGCACCGCGCCATCCACGGCGGGGACGTGGCCCTCAGCAAGGAGCAGCCCGGGCTTGGGCGACAGCGAGCCTCGGGGGACGAGGGCCCAGGTCTCCCAAGTGGTGAGGATCAGAAGGCCACGATCGCGTTTCGCATCGTTGTTGTGCTGTGGTGTGGTGTGGTGTGGTGTGGTGTGTTGTGTGATGGTGTGTTTTGTTGTGTGCTTATGATTGTATCTATGCATGCATGTATGTATGCATTTGTATGTGTTCATCTATGTACGGCAATGGAACGCCATGTGATGGAATGGCATGTAAGGTAGTGCAATGTAGTGTGATGTAATGTAGATAGGTCGGTAGGTCGGTAGGTGTGTGTGTGTGTGCGCGCGTGTTGCCCCCCTTGCACCCACCTGTCCGTTTCGGGAGCATCCTGGGCCTCCGCGTGGTCATGGCTGGATCTGTCCGGGAGAACCCTAGCCCGGTGGCGCCCCAGGATTGGTGCAGCGGTCTGGGGGTCTATGTTAAAGCTTGGATCCAGACCTGGGGAAGATCTATTCAAGAGGCTTACTCAATTCCGCCGACCCCCAGAGAATGAGGCCTAGGGATGAAGATGATGAAATGGACGACGGCGACTGTGGGGCCAAGAATGAGCAGAAGGACGAGGACAAGGACGATGGGATGGTCTTGATGTTTTGCTTCAGTGCTTGGGGGTCTTGTCAGGGTCCCCCTCGTGGAGCCCCTTTGGGTCAAGGGAGTCCGTCGGGGGTCGCCGCTGGGGCTTCTTTCAGCCCAAGCTTGTCGAAGTGGGGGCCTGCGGCAGGAGGTGCGGGAGGGATCCGGCTAACGAGGCTTCAGTATTAGTCTGCTTGTGCATGTCGGGCCTAACGAAAGGGGGGGATCGGGAAAGGGGGGGGTACGAAATCTGCTGCATGAAGCTGGATTCGGCCCCGCCGCCGGGCCCATTCTTCGATACATGGCCGCCTCCCGGCGCCGGGAGGCGCCGGGAAAATCAGCTACGTGAGCTGATTCTCAAACCCACCCTTTGCTATCCCCCCCTTTCGCCCTGCCCGATTTCCTCTTGGAGGCGGTTTGAGGGTGTGTGGGCCTCTGGGGGGCCTCTTTGGGCTTCCTTTGGGCCTCTGTGGGGCCCACCTGGGGCTCGGGACGATCGGAATGGGTACGGACAGGATGAGCTCGATGCCCAGCAGTTGTTCTGGTTAATTTTGAACAGGACTCGCTGCCCGCGCCGCCGCGGACGTTTGTGTTTGAAGACAACAGCGGCCGTTGTCAAACGTCGGCCGCTGTCGGTTTTGGACAACATATCTATACATATATAAATATATGTTGTTGGGCAGTGTGCCTATTTTTTCCGTATCCATCTCGGGCGTCCAAAGGGGCTTCTGGGGGGTCCCTCGGGAGCCTGGTGTCGTTCTCGGGGGTCCTCTCGGGGCGGAGGGCTCGAAACGCTGGTTCGTGTCCCCCTCTTTAGGGCTCTCTTGCGGCCCTCTTGGGGGCCGTCTGTTGCTGCCCTTAAGGGCCGCCTGGAGGCCGTCTCGGGGTCTTCCTGGGCTGTTTTGGAGGCCTTTGGGGCTGTCTTGGGGCTTGGGCAGCCCAAAAAGGCGATCACGCTGAAATCGCCCAAAACCGACGGGAAATTCAATGTCTAGCTTTTTGGGGGGTCTCTTGGAGTGATTTTGAAGTGTTTTGGGAGCCTTGTGGGCCGTTTAGAAGAGATTTTGGGTGTCTTGCAGCACTCTCGGGCCATCTCGGAGACCTCTTGGCCCTTCATATGGCCCCCTTTGGGGCTCTCTGAAATCGCCCACCTTCGGCCTTGTTTCCTCCTCCGAGCGCCCCCGAAGGGCGCCCCCGAAGGCCCCCTTTCCCATCCCGCCACCCCGCCTCACAATGATCTCACAGCGGGTGTCGGCGGATGTTCTTCGATCGCATCGGTTTCTCATCTGTTGTGGCTCTTGGCGCCCTTGTCCCAGGTTCCAGGTCTCTGGATGACACCCTTGCGGCAGAAGACCGAACACAGTTTTCCAACGGAGAGAGGGAGAAGAAGGATGGTGGAGGAGAAGGAGGGGGAGGTGGAGGAGGAGGAGGAGGAGGAGGAGGAGAATGAGGAGGGCGATGAGGAAGGAGGACGAGACAGTGGACAAGGAGGAGGAGGCGGAGGAAGAGGAGGATGAGGAGGAGGAGGAGGAAGAGAAGGAGCATCGTGGCGAGCCCAGGGGCTTCTTTGAGCATCCTGGGTGCCTCGGAGATCCCCTTGACGCCTCTTGGGGGCCTCTTGAGCACCTCTTGGGGCTGTCTGGCCGCCTCTTGGGGCCCTCTTGGGGCGCTCTTTGGGAGCTTTAGAGGCACTCTTGGGGCCACCTTGGAGGGCATCGATCAAAACAGAGGGGTTCCCCAATTCCCGCCCCCCCTTGTGAGCCCCAAGCGTCGCCTCTTTGGGCGCTCTTGGAGCGCCTTTGGGCGCTCTTGGGGCTGTTTTGGGGCTCTCTTGGGTCGCTCATGGGGACCTCTTGGGCCATCTTGGAGCCGTCTTGAGGCATACGATGGCCATCGGAAGCGAACATGCGAGAACGTAGAACACATTAATTGTGCTTAGGTGTTGGAAGGATGTTGGCCTCCACGGGGCTTCCTTGGAGAGATCTTTGGCCACTTGGAGCCGTCTTGGAGCGGTCTTGGGGCTTCTTGGAGCATCGTGGGAGCCATCTGGAGGCATTTGGGGGCATTTTGAGCCAGCTTGGAGCTCGTCTTGGGCTCTCCAGGGCGCTTTGGGAGCCATTTTGGACCATCTTGGTTGCCCCAACCTCTCGGGGGACCCCCGTCCAGGTCAAGGTTAGGGGGCAGGGGGAGGGGTCAAGCTGCCCACCCGCCCGCAAGCCGTCTAGCTCCCTCTCACCCGCCCTCCCAACAAATAAGTAACACCCGAGCCTGAGCATGTTCAGCGGTCGTCGTTGGATGGACAGCTATTGGGAACCAAAGCCGACCCCAGGTGCGCGACGCTTGGGCGAGGTGCACCACGCGTGCCAAGGGTTCTACGCGCGCCAGGCACCCCTGGGGCCCGAGCGTGCCAGGCACGCCTGGTGCGCCAGATGCGCCATGTGCTCCGAGTGCGCCAGGTGTGCCGCACACTCCAGCCGCGCCAGGTGCGCTATGTTCGGGGCACGTGCAGAGTGCGTCAGATGCGCCTGCGCACGTGACAGCACACATCGGGAAACGTGTCGGTCCCCCGCCATCCTTGTCGAAAACCAGCGCCCATCATTGTGTATGGTGGGCCTCAGCAGGCCACACGCCAACACCCCCCGCGGCCCCTGTCAAAAACCATCCGACAGTGGTCGCGGGATGGCCGCGCACGATCCAGATTTAGCCGCGAGGTGCATGTTGTATTGTTTTTTGTCAGGGATGGTAGCCCTGCGCAAGGCAGGGAATATGCTGGCACCCCCGCCGTCCTTATCATATGCAATATAAGGTGTTCGCGGGCCTCACGTACATGATTCAAGGCTTTGCCCCAACGTGTTATTTGCATTGTTTTTGTTGGCAGGGATGGTGGGTGGGCGCATCGGGTTGGCCGCGCATGCTCAACATGTGGAGGTAGAGTGCTGTTTGCACTGTTCTTTGACATGGATGGTGGGGGGCGGATCGGCATGGTGTCCGCATGATTCCTGGTTGGACGCCAGTCGCCTTGGGGAGGGGGTGTATATTAAGAAGGAATAGTGGTGAAGCCCTCCCGAAGGGGAAGAGGGGCACATGGAAGACAACGCACCCTAGACAACCTGCGCCCTAAAGGGCTGGTGGGATTTCGCCCACTGTCGTTAAAGCCCAAGATAAGTGACTGTCGTATCGGGTAAACGGGGAAATGGCTGCAGGTTTGGGATGTTGAAACCAGCACCATCCCGCGGCACTTCTGTTCCGTCACGCACCCAGTCGTCGCTGCAACGTTCCGATAACAAGTGTGTTGATGACGACGTGTCTGTCGACTGGTATGCCGGCGCCTCGTTTTAGCGTCGAGCCCAGGTTCCTCATCCCCGCTACGACAGTTTGTACAGTTTGAGTACCCGGACATGCCTGTCCGCAGAGGTGAGGCGTCGTCTGGGAGCGATTTCACCGTTGTGACATCGTGCGGGGAGAGCTTGAGTTGAATCTGACAGTGGCCGGGGAACAAACTCTTCCGCGTGTCGGCGGCGAGAGAAGGGGGGAAGTGAGAAGTGGTGGGCCTTCACAGAAGTCTCGGAAGTTCCACGGCCTTCTGAGAAGTTTCCTGAGCCTTCCCCGAAGACAGACAGAAGACTTCTCAGAAGGCGCGAGGGCTTCTGAGAAGTGTCGCCGCCTTCCGAGAAGGCCTTCTCCTCGTTTCCCCCCCTCGCTCGCCGCCAAGTGTGGGTCGGGCGATCAAAAGGGGGGCAGCGAGGGCCGCAGAAAAAAAGGTGCCCCCAGGGGGGGGCCCGTGCAGGCCCCGCGGGGTGCCTGCGGGGCCCGAGAATCGGCACCACCCCCAGCATGCTAACTGTGTGTGTGTGTGCGTCGCCCCCCCAAAGGGACGACGCGCACGCCGAGACATCTCACAGTACAGTCGGGGAGGGGCTCCGCGTTCCTGAAGTGTTTCACAGCTTGCCTCAGGTTTTCCCTGTGTTTCCGACTGGAAGTCGGAGTTTAACTTATGGAAAAAGGGGGCCTCGTTCCTTTTGCAGGGTTCCTTAGGTCAACGCCCCGACTGTATCTGCGTCGCGGCGGACGCTTTCTGGCCACACCGCTCGGGAAATGACATACCACAAGAGGGGTCTACTATTACTATATATGTTCGGGTCGGGCGCGCACCTCCGAGGAGGACGTATAGTCTTAGTGCGTCTCTGTGCGTCCCAGAGAAGTGCACCTTGCTGCCCCCCATTGATCGCACATCGATCGCCCGCCTGGCCAGGCCGAGGAGGAGGTCGTGCTGGGACTCTGCGGGGGAAGGGTTCCTCTCGGCGTCGCCGCAGTTTGCAGGAGATCTTTCTCCCCCACTCCCGAGTTCCACCCGAAAAGCCTCGCCGTTCAGAAACTGGGGGGAACCCTGGGATACACCCCGAGGGGGCTATTCGGACGCACCCCTATCGAGGATGGACGCCTCCCATCGTACATCCCAGGGTTGGGGTCGCATTTTGTTGTTGATTCGAAAATCTCACGAAGCCTGGGATAGGGGTCGACATCTCCCCTGTTAGCAGTCGTCTGTGCCTCGGATGAACAGTTCCCGGTAATTAACGGGAGAAGGGGCAAAAGGACGGTGTTGCAGTTGGATATTTTCGGAGGAGCAGAAGATACCATAACGCTACCCTTCCCTCGTTTTGGCCTTGTTGGGCCTCCTCGGAGGCCCTCGTCGCCACCGCTGATTTCGCCTCGAGATTCTGGTCAGAGCGCAACCCCGGAGAGGTCCGGGGAGTAGCGGTATTGGTACCTTTCCCCACAAGTTTCGTCACGGTTGATTTGTAGCAGGGTGGTCAGTTGGCGCCATCCGATCCGCCACGAACGGTCCCGTTGTCAGAGTCTATTTCGATTCGATTCGGTCTCGATGGCCTCCGATTCCGATTCGATTCGACTTCGGATTCCGATTTGGATTCCGACTCCTCACTGGAGTCGGACTAGCCTGCCGATGTCCGCCAATCCGAGTCAGTTCGATCGCCGATCCGACGTGCCGATTGGATGCCGGGCTCTCCCTGCGGTGTCAGCCCGCGGTGCTCCTGGTGCCCCTGGCCCGGCGGGATTGCAGACTGCAGGAAGGCCCCCCCGCCCGGTGATCGGGCAAAGGTCGGATGCGTTTCAACAGGTATCTCTGTTGAGGATCCTGCGTCGGAGCTCGTGTCAAATCGCACGTCGGCGGCGCAGGGATGCGGGGTCGACTGGCTGCGCGGACGTTCGCGTGCAGGCTGCCCTGGCAAGCCCGCGCGCAGGCGCGCTCCTTCCGACGCGGTGTTGTGCACTGGCGGCTTGCGGACGCCCTTTGCGCACGCGCCCCGATCGTGCCATGTTTCGTTTTGTCCTGTCTGATCTCCTCCTCCTCCTCCTCCTCCTCCTCCTCCTCATTCTCCTCCTCCTCCTCCTCCTCCTCCTCCTCCTCCTCCTCCTCCTTGTGCGCTGAAATCCTACCCCTCCCGCCTATCCCTCCTCCTCCTCCTCCTCCTCCGCCTCCGCCTCTTCCGCCTCTGCTCTCACCCGTGACGGCCAGGAGCTGCTCAGCAGCCCCGACTTCGAGTTCCTCGACGAGGCACTTCTCCCACTGCCCCGTGCCGTCCTCGCCTCGCCACTCCTGGAGTGGCCGCCCCTCCTGCGCCTTCCCCCCTTGCTCCTCGCCTCCCTCCGCACCTTCGCCCCCCTCTCCCCTCCCAGTTCCCCATTCTCCCCCACCTCCTCCTCCTCCTCCTCCTCCTCCTTTTTCGTCCTCCTCCTCCTCCTCTTTCGTCCTCCTCCTCCTCTTTCGTCCTCCTCCTCCTCCTCCCCGGTCCTTTCCTCCCAGCTCCTGCCCGCACCTCCCGTTCCTCCCCTCCTGCCCCTCCCCCCATCGCCCCGGGAATCAAACCGATAGAACAAAAACAATGGGCACATATCTGCTGGAGGCCTCTTTGGCGCCTCCTGGCGGCCACTCGGGGCCGTCTGGCCGCATGAGGGCCCGTGGGGCCAGTTTGGGCTTCCTCCCTCTGGGGCCGAACACATTGAAGAGGAGAATTGCGTTTTCAAATGAACTGTGGCGTCAGGGTCACTCGGCAAACCACAGAGGGCACGCGACAAGCCCCATGGATTTTCTCAGGGCGAACCCGTACAACCTTCTGGGCAACCAACACTCTGCAACGACACGCGACAAGCCCAGGGAAATTAACGAGTTGAGCTCAGAGACCCCTGAAGGATTCTGATCCTATCCAGTACAGAGAATTCGAAGGGACCTGAGGGCACTCAACCCAGTGCTCGCGGCACGGTGGAGGAGCAGGCGGGACGTGGCGATTCTTCTACGTGTGTGACCTTCGCTGAGTCGTGGGATCTCACGGTTGCCATCTTGAGGGTCGGCAGACCAGGCTTGTGGTGCACATGCTGCAAGACAAGCGACCGTACGCAGGGCAGCGTACGCCGAAGAACCCGACACCGTGACAGAAACAGCACGACGCCACCATCCAATACCACTACGATTCAGTCGGGCCTGTCCCTCTACAGGGGGAATATTCAGAAATCGTCATCAAACAATAGTCGAGGGACGATTTTGTGAGTATTTGTTGGCCAGTTTGGGGTATTGCGAAGGCCTTGCGGCCGGTGCCGCCGACCCTGCAGACGGAGACGACGAGCAGGACAAGGACGTTGAGGAACAGGAGGCGGAGGACGTCAGGGAGCAGGAGGAGGACGTCAGGGAGCAGGAGGAGGAGGAGGAGAAGGAGGGGAACAGGAGGAGGAGGAGGAGGAGGAGGAAGAGGAAGAGGAGGAGGAGGAGGAGGAGGAGGAAGCAGAGGAGGAGGAGGAGGAGGAGGAAGAGGAAGAAGAGGAGGAGGAGGAAGAGGAAGAGGAGCTCCAAAGCTTGACTGGCCCGGGTTTGCACTGACCCGGGTCAGTGCGTCCCCGACTCGGCAGCGGCAACGCTTGAGATATGAACGACGGACAAAAACGGGGTCGATTGTGTCAGCGTTCGCTTGCAAGTTTCCCGCGCAAGGTCGCTCGTAACAGATCTGTTAAGGGCGAACCCGTAACGTCCGTTTCGGGCGGGTCGCCCCTTCCCACCTTGATAAGGGGTACGAGGGGGCCAGCTCCCCACAAGCATGGCGCCACACTCGCAGGCATGGCGCGGTGTTGACGGGCATCGGAGGGCCCCCTGACGCCTCCAGGCACCTGTGCCGCTGGGTGCCCTCGTGGCGCCCCGGCAGCCCGATCGCCACCACAGCCCGGCGGGGTTGTTGGAGAGAGAGACTCTTGCCCTGCGGCTGGCCAGCCACACTCGGTGCGGGCCCGCCGTGCCACGCATGAGAGGCCCGATGGTGTTCCTCGAAGGGGTCCCCCGACGGGTGGGGGCGCGGGAATGAAAGTCCTCGGGCAGTGGGGCCTCCGCGGCTGGGAGGCCGGCGGCCAGGCGGGGGTGTTGCCGGTGGCCGTGTCTCGGGGCGGCGTCTCGAGGCGCCCCGCATCTGCGGCGCAGATGAGACGCTTGGGGTGCGTCTGTGCTGCCATTCATTTTGCGATTCCCGCCCGCATGTGAATTCATGCAAGGACCCTGGGCATCTGGAGGCCCTCCTGGGGTAATCTGTGCGCGGCCGCGGCGGGCCCGCCGCGCGCCGCCGATGCGGCAAAGACCGCTACGGCTGCGCCTCCGCGCGGAGGCACAGAGCCGCGCTCGAAAGGCTTGACACGGCAACATCCAAGCGCTCTCTTCTCCAACGCAGCGCGTCGCGCTGGCTGCCCCCGCACGTCGAGGCCCTGGGTCGCGATGTCGTGGTGCGTGTAGATGCCCGCTCCTTTGCGTCGCCCCGGTGGGGCTGCCCTGGCTCCCTCGTCCTTGCGCCGAGGCGGCAAAGGGGCAGCCGGCGCATGCGAGACGCTGTCGTCGTCGTCGTCGTCGTCGTCGTCGTCGTCGTCGTCGTCGTCGTCGTCGTAGTCACAGTCGTCGTCGTAGTTGTAGTTGTTGTTGTCGTCGTCGTCGTCGTCGTCGTGATTAGTCGTAGTCGTGGTCGTCGTCGTCGTCGTTGTCGTCGTCGTCGTCGCTGTCGTCGTCCACCGTTTCGGGAGGGGCAGCTCCTGCCCCCCGCCCGGGGTGGCCGGAGAAACCGCCCCCCCGCCCCCATGCGGCGCCCGTGGACAGGTGACGAGCCACGGCCTGTTCGGCACGGTGGGCGGGCAGTCGATATTGCACATCGCTGCGCGCTGCGAGCAGGCGGAGATAGTGAAGGTCGCCTGGCGTTTCTGCAAAAGTCCTTCGTTTCGGCGGCGAGCAAGGGGGGAGCGAGAAGGAGACGGCCTTCTCGGAAGGCGGCGGGGCTTCTCAGAAGTCCTCGCGCCCTTGCGATGTTTTCTGCGTCTTCGGGGAAGGCTTAGAAACGTGTGAGATTTCGGAGCGCCTTTCACGCGATTCGTGGCTCCATAAGGGAACTGCACCGAAGGACCTATCAGCACGGTCCACATGCGGCTCCCCGCGTGTCCATTTCGGCGCACCACGCACACGGTCTGTGGCCCCATAGGGAGTTGCACCCAAGGCCCCAATGAAACGGTCCACTTTCGGGCCGAACGAAAGGGGGGGATTGGGAAAGGAGGGGTTACGAAATCTGCTGCATGCAGCTGGTTTCGGCCCCACCGAGGGGCCCATTCTTCGATACATGGCCGCCTCCGGCGCCGCGAGGCGCCGGGAAACTCAGCCACGTGAGCCGATTCTCAGCCCCCCATTTTGCTATCCCCCCCCCCTTTCGCCCGACCCGACTCATGCGGCTCCCCGCCCACTGCATGTCCAGGTCGGTCCACCCCTCACGATTTTCGCCGCCCCGTATGGAGCTGCACTGGTGACCCCACTGCCGGGGTCCCCATGCGTCTCCCCGCCCACCGCATGTCCATGTCGGCGCAACGCTCTCGCGCTGCTGACTCGCGCTTCGTGGCCACACAGGGAATTCCACCGACGTCCCCGGTGGCAGGGTCCACGTGCGGCCCCCCCCGCCCACCGCACGTCGATTTCGGCACACCCCTCACACGGTCCTTGACCCCATCCGCCGCCCTCGATCGATCCATCGCAGGGGTGCCTGGCGCGCCAAACGATATTGTTTTGGTTTTTTCCAAAAGAACTCCCCCTGGGGCTTCGGCCCGTCCCGCCGGGTCCCGGAGATTCCGAGCATCCATCCGTCAATGCCTTTGTTGCCCCAAATTGGCCCAAGATGGCCTCCAAGACGGCCAAGATGGCCCCGGATGGCCTCCAAGATGCCTCCAAAACAGCCAAGATGGCCTCAAAGACGGCTAAGATGGCTCCAAGATGCACCCAAGACAGCCCAAGATGGCCTCAAGATGGTCTACGACGGCCCAAAAGGCCCGCAAGAGGCCTCCAAGACGGCCTAAGATCCCTCCAAGACGTCCTCCAGGAAGGCCCGAAAGGGCCCAAATCATTGATTTTCCTTCGGTTTTTGACTGATTTTGGCATTTGCGCCTTTTCGGCTTTCCGACGGCCCAAGACGGCCCAAGGGGCTCCCAAGATCGCCCCAAGATCGCTCAAGAGGCTTCTAAGATGGCCCCATGACGGCCCAAGACGCCCCCAAGACGGCCCCAAGAGGGCCCCAAGATGGGCCCCAAGATGGGCCAAGAGGCCTCCAAGACGCCCAAGATGGCATCTCAGACGGCCCTGGAGCACCCCAAGAATGCCCCAAGTCGGCCCAGGGAGGCCTCCCAATCGGCTTCCGACGGCGTCAGACGGGCCAGGAGCCCACCAAGATGGCCGAAGTTGGCTCGAAGCTGGCCCAAGACGGCCCAAGAAGCCTCCACCTCCTTTTCCTCCTCCTCCTCCTCCTCCTCCTCCTCCTCCTCCTCCTCCTCCTCCTCCTCCTCCTCCTCCTCCTCCTCCTCCTCCTCCTCCTCCCCAATCGGCGACGCCTAAGAGGAGAGCTGCGCTCGCATGGCCTGCCTGTGGAGAAGGAGGTGGGGGGGGGGGCGGAAGGCGGGCCGCCGGGCCTCCTGTGAACACAGAATCCCCGATCATACAGTCGGCCCGGATTAGTAGGTCGACCCTGCCAGCTCAAGGGGACCCTTGTGTCCTGTGCCTCGCGGCACGTGCCTTCTGACACTCCTACGGCTTGGCATCGCTCGGACGTGTGCATCCTTCCTTCGGCGAGGACCTTCGAGGAGCATCCTCGAACATCTGGCGAAAAAAAACCGCACGAAACCGGAAAAAGCACAGGAAATGGACGTCCGAGCGATGGCCAGTCTTGCACTCCTGCGGCGAGGTGGCCCTCGGCAGGGTCTTGTGTCCTCTCGCGTGTCCCGTCCAATCAAGGCCGGCTGAATCGCAGAGCGTCTACCCATGGCAAGGAGGGGGGGGAGCGCAGGTACCGACAGCGGGGACCCATGCCAACCCATGCCAAGAAGCACCCTCCTTGCCTCCAGAGAGCCCCGGGCCCCGATGGCTGTGCGATGGCAAAGCGTTACGCCCCCACACCAAAAATCCAGGGGCGCCCTGGGGTCTCGGGGTTGGGTTTCTTGTGGAAGGTCTGTTGTGGATTGGCCCCCACTGGACGACAAGGAGGGCATCGAGGAGGCTGTGGAGCGGCCTATTAGAAAGTCAGGGATGAGGGAGGAGCGGGGAGGATGGCGGGGGGGAGAGAGAGTCGACTCCTTCCGCCTCCCCCTTCCTCATCCCCCGCCTCCCTCCCTCCTCCCTCCTCCCTGCCGCCTCCCTCCTCCTGGAGAGGAAGAGGGAGGGATGATGAGGATGAGGGCGAGGATGAGGATGCGACGGAGGAATCGGAGCAGGAGGAGGAGGGTGAGGAGGATGAAAAAGATGTAGAGGAGGAGGAGGAGGAGGAGGAGGAGGAAGCGGAGGAAGAAGAGGAGCCTTTGCGCCCGCACTGCGCAGGAAACAGAGGAGGAGGAGGAGGAGGAGGAGGCGGAGGAAAAGGAGGAGGAGGAGGAGGAGGTGGACATGAAGATGATCAAGAGTGAGGAGGAGGATGCGGATGTGTAGCCGGATGAGGATGAGGACGACGACGGCGGCGGCGGCAGAGGCGGCGGCCACCGACGCCCGCCCGAGGCCATCCTGGCCTGCCCCCGCTTCGGCCTCTGCGACCTGCGCGACGGCTTCGGCTGCACCGCGCTGCACCTGGCAGCCTCCCAGGGCGCCGCCGCCGCCGTCGCCGTCGCCGTCGTCGCCGTCGTCGTCGTCGCCGTCGGCATCGCCGTCGACGAGTGTCGGTGTTCCAGGCGCTTCGAGTGTGTCGGGGTCGGATGCACAAGGACATGCTAGTACAGCCGGGGCCCTGCAGAAGGAACCTTTTTCGTTGGGGAGGGGCTCCGCGTTCCTTAAGTGTTTCGCAGCTTGCCTCAGGTTTTCCTTATGTTTTCGATCGGAAATCAAAGTTCAACTGATGGAAAATCGGGGCCTCGTTCCTTATTCTGGGTTCCTTAGGTCAAGCCCCCGACTGTACTACTGTATGTCCGCCTCGGAGGCGTGCGTCCCACCCGAACATGCAGCACAGCCAGCAGCGTAGCTTTTCCCCAGCGTTTTGGCCACCGCGCGCCCGCCACGGAGCTCGTGGTTGCAGATGACTCGGGGTACGAGCGTCGCCCCTGCCCTGGGGGAGGGGGGTGGCGACACACACACACACACACACACACACACACACACACACACACACACACACACACACACACACACACACACACACACACACACACACACACACACACACACACACACACACACACACACACACACACACACACCACCCACACACACACACACACACACACACACACACACACACACACACACACACACACACACACACACACACACACACACACACACACACACACACACACACACACACACACACACACACACACACACACACACACCACACACACACACACACACACACCACACACCACACACACACACACACAACACACAACACACACACACACACACACACACACACACACACACACACACACACACACACACACACACACACACACACACACACACACACACACACACACACACACACACACACACACACACACACACGCATAGCACTAGCATGTTGGGGTGACGCCGATCGGAGGCTTCCGGTGGCAGATCTGACGTTTTCAACGGCGGACCCGAGCCCTTTTGAGGCTCCCAGGGCTTCCCGGGAGGCTGGACCACGACGGTCGCCGCCGTCGCCTCTTGGGTCCCTCTTGCGGCGCTCTTGGGCGCCTGGTGGGCGCTCTTGGCGCCGTCTTGGGGCCTTCTTGGACCCCTCTTGGGGGCTCTCTTGGTCCATCTTGGGGCCATCTTGACCCCTCGGATGCCCATCGGAGGCGAAAAGGCAAAAAGCTATGGTTTCCGAAAAGGCAAAAAGCTATGGTTTTCAATTGGTTGTTGAAGGATTTTGGCCTCTTGGGGAGCCTTGGGAAGCTCGCAGAGCTCTTGAGATCGTCTTGAGCCCGTCTTGGGGCCTCTCGAAGATAAGGCGGACGCTACCTCGAACCACGTTCGGTTGTCAGGAGCCATCTTGGAGACCATCTTGGGCTCTCGGAGGCGCCACTGAAGCCATCTTTGGCCATCTTGGACGCTCCACTCCCCCGAGGCTTCCTCTGTCCAGGCCCAGGGAGGGGGGTCAAGTCAAGTCAAGTACGCCTTGCACCAGACGGTGCGTGTGCAGGGTTGAAGCGTAGCAGACATGTATGCAATGTGGCCAGACTGCCTTCGGCATCCGGCCCGAGCCTTCACCGCGCGTCCCCACGCTCGAGCTGCACCACCGTTTTGGTGGAAGCAGGCAGCGAGTCATTCGAGGGAGCTGGCAACCTGAGACAATTATTCCTGACTAGATGGCCCCGTGCCTGCCTCGGTCTGCCCCTCTTTCTCGGGCCGGCGACCCTCCGCAGTTCCAGGGTACTCGGTTCAAACACAGAGCGGCGCGCGGGATTTTGGCCGGGTCGGCGCGCTAATTGGCCCATGTGTATCATTTGTTGTCTCAAGAGGTTGTCGTTGAGTTTCGGAGGGTGAGCAATATCGAGCACAGTGAAATACGGCATTCTGCTGATGTGTGCTGGAGGCACTCTGCAAATCTTCTTGGTGCAACGATTATCGACTCCGTCCAACCGTCGACGTTCGGCCTGGTTCAAACACGCAGCGAAGAAAGCGTACATCAATCTGGACACAACGCATACGTTGAATCCATGGAGGTTTTGTCTCCGTGCCAACGTAGCGTAGTCCAAATCGTGTGCAGTACTTTGAAGTCTTGCGTGGCCGACGCGCATCTTCCGTCGGCGGAGATCGACGTCCTACGATAGACGATGGATTGCTTGTTGGTGAGAGGAGCTTCAGCGTTGTCCGAAATGCCGTCGCCTGTGCGCACCTTCAGCAGCTCCACCTTCTTCCGTTGAATTTCAGGAGGAGAAAAAACACACAGACACAATGAATCGTCCACTCCCAGGAAAATATTGGGGAAATATGGGAAGTGGGGGGAGACAAAAACCCAGAACATATGGGAACATATGTGGTATCCGTTGATTTGTGTGCGTTTTTTATATATATATATATATATATATATATATATATATATATATATATATATAATATATATATGTGTGTGTGTGTGTGTGTGTGTGTCCCAGGGCCCCTTCAGAATTGCAAGCCATAGCTTGCCCCGAACGTCTTCACGTATGTCATCAGCTCCTGCACTGGCTCTGCGCTGGCGCCGATCGGCAGCGCGTCATCCGCGTAGATCAGGTCTCGGACCAGCTCATCTGGAACTTGATCGCCGCCGCGTCTCTCCCGAAGCTCTCTGTTCGCATTCTGTAGCAGGGCGGGGGGGGGAGGTAAACCTCCCCAAATAGGGGGAGGGGGGACCTGCGAAAGGGACTGCTCTAGACCACCTGCGCCCAGTGGGCTGATTGGATTTGTGCTGCTCGGAAGCTGTTTGCTGGGACTTTTCTAAAAACGACTCGGGATGAAAGGCTTGTCCCAGGGAAGGGGTCGAGAGCTCCACGTCGGAAGCTAGGGAGGAGGAGGATGAGGAGGAGAAGGAGGAGGAGAGGGAGGAAACTGTTTTCGAAGGTCTGGGAGTCAGGTCCTGGGCGGTTTCTGGGCGCCAGGGTGTTTTCATTATCTGCGCCTCGCCGAGCGACCTCCATCGAAAAAAAAACATCTACATAACCAGACGCATACGTGAGCTTTGGAAGGTCTGAGCGGGCTTCTTGTTGGGTCAGTGCTGGGCGGCGTCGGCGTCGGCGTCGGCGCCGGTGTCGGTGTCGGCGTCGTTGGCGTCGCCGCCGGCGCCAGGCCTGTCCGA